TTCTTTCTCATAATCATTGGGAAAATACACGTTGAAATTATTTATCAATGAAAAACAATAATTTATGTCAGATGCTAATTCTTTTATTTTTAATTATTTTCAGTTAGAAAACTTTCTAAAAGTGGTAGAAAGCTTAAAATATCACTATTTAATTCTTACTTATTAGCTTCATTTTTTTTATCATTGCATTCATTAATGCTTAACAAATTAACACTTTGTCCTTGTAATCCTAAATTTAATCCATTTAACTTTCCAAAAAATATCAACTAAATATGCTAAATGCTCCAACCATAATACACTAAATAAATATTTTTGCAATTCAAATTTTGAATCACAGAGCAAAATTTGAATTTCTGATTAAAGTTCAAAAATGCAATTTAAAGGTTTGCCTCTGGATTGCCACATTACTTCGAAATGCAACAAAAGCATTTTATGTTCACTGCCCATATCTTGGCATAAAATCCTAAATATTCTTGAATTTAAAGCTCAGATTTTAATAAAATTAAGAATTTTCACAGCTAGTTCAAAACGATTTTCAGGTTTTTGGAGATTGTTTTGGCCACTAAAGCTTCATGGTGAATGGAACAGTGATTAAATTTAGTTTCAGGTGCAACTTTCTCTATTTGAGAAATAACAGTGGAATTTTTCCGAGTCCGAGTTCCATCACTGCATATGACAATGCACTTATTCCATGAAATATCATTCTCAGACATGAAGTTGTCAATTACTTTGAAAATTTCATTTGCAGTCACTCTATCATGAAGAGAATCACAAAATAAATACTCTTTGGCAATTCATTTATCATCTTCGAAAAGTATGTAAACTAATATTTGAACAAAGTTCATTCTATCAGTACTTTCATTCAATTGCAATGTGAAATATTCACCGTGTTTTATTTTTTGAATAAGTGTCTCTTTTATGGAATTTACCGTTTCGTGAATTCATCGACTTACTGTATCATTTGATAAAGGAATATTATTTAGTTCAAATCCTGAGATCATATTAGTGCAGCTTTTGTTGTGGAAAAAACATTTGTTGGGTTTTGCTTGCATTCAACTTGCTTGGTTTTCAGTTTTGAACTATATAGTTTATCTGCTTAACCTTGTATATTTCAACGATTCTCGTCATTATAATTCGCTTTCGATAGCGAAGAAAGTAACAGGTTAGTGAAAAAAAAAATTTCGATGACAAATTAGTCAGTGCTCGCCCGCAATTTCAGGACTTGAACAGCGTAACTTTAACTGAACAAAATTATGTCTGTTTAATAGAATAAAGAGAAAGTATTATCCTGAAATGAAGCAAACTTAAACAACTTACATTGAAAGAAATGTTTATAAGTAAACAAATAAATATTAAGCTTTTTCTTTTTAAAATTTGATACCCTTTTAGATCTAATTTTTTATTTCATAAATACGTTCATATTTTTAATTTATTTCTGCATCCATCTTACGAGATTTAAACTGATATCTATAATCCGGAAAAATCGATAATCCGGAATCGCCGAATCCCGACGGTCCGATTAACGACTTTTGGCTATATATGATTGGATATTGTTATAGCAATGATTAGCTTAAAGTAATTAGGATTGTTCAATTTTTTTATTAATTTTGTATGTGCTTATTTATATTTTAGTAGTGTTTTTAATTAATTATATTTTAATTTAATGATCATGTGAGTTAGTGTTTGTGAGTTATTTGCATTTTCGTGAAATTTTTCTAATTATGAGAACAAATTGTACATGGATATAGTGAAGAGTGCGCAATGCCCTTTTTGTGCATTCTGGGAGGTTGTTTAAGTAAAAATAAGCAATTGTACTTTTTAGTGATATTTTAAATTAAATCGTTTTTTGTTTTTTTTTGTAGAATTTGGTAGCCTTTCAGTTGAAGTAAACGTGTATGGAAATAATTTAAATATTTGACACTAAGTTTTAACCATTTGTCATGTTTGCAGTATGAATTCGTGGTGACGTTTCATATATAGATACTAGAGGTAAAGTTTTTTTTATTATTTTTACGTATCTGTTCTCCTTGTAAGGGTATATACTTTTTCACGATCAGGTAATTCATATATGTGCTTTTACCAATTAAAAAGATATTTTTTCATTTTTGTGCAAATTTTTGTAATTATGAGAAAATAGCAGTTATGGATACAGTTAAGAGTGTGTTCAATGCCATTTTTTGCAATTCTGGGATGTTTTTTAAGTAAAAATAACGACGGAAATGGTTTATGGGAGGGCTATTCTGAAAACGCGAGAAAAAAAGGAGTTTGCGATTGTACCTTTTCCCAATTTTGCGTAAATATTTGTCTGATAAGCAGTTTGTTACATAAAAATTCTAGCATAAGTGTAATTCGCTAGTAGATTGTTGGAAAAAGTGTTCAGTAAATAAAAGAAAATAAACATGTCTTCACTTCGTGAAGACAAAATGGCGGCGAAAAAAAAATAGAGGGTTGCTGTAGCAGAGTTGGTCGCCAAATTTTCGCCAAAAAATCGCGAAGTTACCATAATCCAAAGATCAACCATTGTATTTTTATATAGTCTAAAAAATTGGAAATATAAAGAATAACCCACATGCAACATTATAATGTAATATTTGTCAAATTTGTTTTGAATTGACTTTATTCCACAAAATATCTTTTGTTGTCAAAGGATTTCATTTGTGCATGATTATTTCTCTAATCTTAGAAATTTTCAATATGAAATTATACATCTCTTTATACACTCACCTTCAAAGGACAGCAGTTCATGTTTGATGAAAATAGTTGGAGATCTTTAGTCTGGGAAATTTTGTTTTTAGTCGCCTGATGCATTTATGTTGCTTGTTAACTTAATAATGAAAAAAAAGAATCAAATATGAGTAGGAAGTGAAACATATATTTATAAAAGACATAAAATTATAAATTTTTCTGAAAAGTTCTTAAATCACAAACACATCCATCAAAGTGGCATGTTGCTAGAGAAGTACAATGTGTCTAATATCAATATGTAGCTGGGGAATCTTTTTGAAATTCCACCATAAGGCAACTGGAAGATTCAGCTTCATGATATATTCTAACAATGGAAAAAATCTAACACTAGTGATTTCATTTACAGACAGATCTTTGTGCAGCATAGACACAAATATAGAAATTATAATCCTCTCTGTACAGATGAATCAAAATCCTGAGATCATGTTAATGCAGCTTTTGTTGTGGAAAAAACATTTGTTGGGTTTTGCTTGCATTCAACTTGTTTGGTTTTCACTTTTGAACTTCTGAGTTTATCAGCGTTTAACCTCGGACTGTCTTAGGTTTCACTATAAAAGCCCATATTTCCCCAACTGCTAAGAAAAAAGGTATTTCTTGATTTTAATGCCTAAATGCCCCCTGGTTTTTATACCTGATTATATTTTTAATATATATCTTGAATTTCTTGGAGACACTTCAATATGCATGTATGTACTTCATAAAGGTCACAAAAAATATTGCCGTCAGAGGGTTAATTTTCATCTCGGAATATTGCCGTAGGAATTTCTTTCATTATGTACACAGAGTGCATTAACATCATTGAAAGATCTTACTTATAGCTCACATCCCATTCTTAACAGAATTCTGAAGCCTCTCTGTACAGATGAATCAAAATCCTGAGATCATGTTAATGCAGCTTTTGTTGTGGAAAAAACATTTGTTGGGTTTTGCTTGCATTCAACTTGTTTGGTTTTCACTTTTGAACTTACTGCAGTTTATCATGCTTTAACCTTCTGACTGTCTTAGGGTTTCACTATAAAAGCCCATATTTCCCAGAACTGCTAAGAGAAAAAGGTATTTTCTTGATTTTAATGCCTAAATGCCCCTGGGTATTTTATACCTGAATTTATATACTTTTAATATATATCTTGAATTTCTTGGAGACACTTCAAGATGCATGTATGTACTTTCATAAAGTGTCACAAAAAATATTGCCGGTCAGAGGGTTAATTTTCATCTCGGAATATTGCTGTAGAAATTTCATTATGTACACAGAGTGCATTAACATCATTGAAAGATCTTACTTATAGCTCACATCCCATTCTTAACAGAATTTTGAAGCCCAATCAGATTCTAAAATGTCAGGATATCAGATTCTTCACTCCTGGATCCCTGGTCATGCTAGCATAAAAGGAAATGAACTTGCAGATACTACAGCTAAGGCTGCTGCTACTATACTGCCCAGCCTTCAGGTCCTACTCACAGATATCAGGGTATTAATCAGATGTAGAATTCTCAATAAATGGCAGATTCATTGGGATCATTAAGCAAACAATAAGCTAAGACGTGTTAAATCCCTACAGAGTGCTGGGTATCTCTACTAAATAGAAGGGAAGAAGTACTCTTAACTTGTTTGAGAATAGGTCACTGTCCACTGACCCATGAACATCTGAAAAGCAAGAGAGATCCACTTTATCTAAATTGCAATGGAATTCTGATAATTCACCATATTTTACCGGATTGTAAATATTTTCACCTTAAGAACTTTAATTGTTTTAGTGTGGATTTTGAAAACTTAATAGAAGACAACTTCTTTATAAATTGTTCCAGTTTTTAAAAGGCATTGCCTTTTACCATAAATTGTAATCTGTTTTTACTCTCAGTTTTATCAAACCTAAACTGTATTGCAGCTACACACCTACAGTATTTAAACATACATTTTAATCTGTGTGTTTCCTTAGCTGCTGTTATATTTCATGGTTTTATTCTACTATTGGCAGTATTTGTTTTCCATAGTTCTGTCACTGTTTCAGTCTTATTTTTAGTTATTTATTATCCATCAGTAGTTCAGTGGAGATTGCTTCATTTTTGCTTACTTTCTATTTTACGTGTTGATTTCTAGATTATCCTACCATTTTGTTCCTGATTCCCTGTTACTTCTTGGATTAATAAATTCCTGGAAATTGTTGACTTTATAACTGTTTCACTTCAACCATCAGTTTGGCACAGATAATCTCATTAGGTTTTTGTGCCAAATATTGCAGTACAACTACAAACAAATGTATCAAATATAATAAATAAATATGAATAACTATCAACAATGACTTAAGTGAGTTAATAACTATAAATTAATTCATAATTTACAAAAATAAATAAACCAAAATTAAACAATTTTTGTTTTACAGTTTTTGTATATTATTTAATTTAAAAAATTAAATATACAAAAACTGTAAAACAAAAATTGTTAAAATACCTTTTCACTTTCAAAGAAAATTATTTTGCAATGCAACCTATGTTTTTGGGACCACTGTTCAATGTTTGAAATCTGCATTTACAGAAGTCAGGTCTGGTTATTTCTATGAATGAATCCAGATGTGCACCTTTATGAAAAATGCTGGATTTTCATGAGGGTGTCAATGATAAGTTTGAAGCAATAAATTGATCTTCAGTTTGTGCATGTTGCCGAATGCTGTGGGATCATTATGAAGATTTATGTCTTTTTTAACAGCGGCCAACTTGTAAGAGAGTGCAGCCCTGTTATGAAGTGGTTCCTGAAAAATCTTATGTGATGTATGAATATGAATGTCTGCCCCAGTTTTTAAATGTAGCATCTACACTGACATTAAAAATGAATATTTCAAGAAAACATTTTTATGACAATTGATTTGAGTAATATCAGTGCTGCCTGTCAAATTGCTAATTCTGAATGTTGTTGCCATTCCACACTCCATTTTTTTTCCCTTTTGAATTGTATTAAATTATTTGTCTCTATAATAGAAGGATTGACAACATGTATGTGCTTTTTAATATTTTTTTTAATTTTTATTTTTAACTTTTAAATTTTAATGGCACATTGTTTAATGAGTATGAAAAAGAATCACATGAAAACAATATTTTTGCAATAATTTATTTAAAAATCTGTCATAAAGTATCTATGAATTATCATTTATAATCTTATGAAATTTATTCTAACATTTTTTTAAAGAAATATTAATTTATAAAAACATTTCTAATACAAATATTATTTACCTCTGTGACAGATTTTTTTTTTTTTTAACACATAGCATGTAGAAATGCTTTTTTAAATATTTAGAAATAGCACAAGATTAAAATGCTGTCTAAAAAAAAAATTTGCTATTATTTTTAAAGGTTTTGGTGCATACGTTAGAATGAAATATTTTGTGCAATAATTATTATTTATAGTGTGTAATAATTTGATGTGTTATTAATTTAAGGGGCGACCCGGTTGGCATATTGAATGTTCTGTCATGGCCAGTGCTTTGTTGGGAGAATCACTCGATATTCATACTGGAGGTTTTGACTTGAAATTTCCCCATCATGATAATGAGTTAGCTCAAGCAGAGGTAAAATAACTATTTTTTAATGCAGTTTTTGTGTGTTTTGAGAATTTTTTAATGTACTGCAATACAAAGTCCGAGATCCGCAATCATCAGGACTTCTGCGATTCCAGATTTGGGATTTTTTCCGGATATTATACCATCAATTTAAAACTAGTAAGATGGAATGTAGAAGTTATAAAATAAAAAAAATATGAAATAGTGATTTATGAAATTATGAAGCATTTACGATCATAAATGTATCAAAATTTACAAAACAAAATAAGTTTAATATTTATTTGTTTACTTTATTAAACATTCCTTTCAATGTAAGTTATTTTCAGTTGCTTTGTTTTTGTGCTAATAATTTCTCTTTAATTATATATATATGCAGGCATAATTTCTTGTTCAGTTGCAAAATTTCATTATTTAAGTCCTGTAATTGCTGTGTTGAGAATTTCGACTAACTTGTCAATTGAAATTTTTTTATTTTCAGTAATCTCTCTGTCACTTTCTTCACTATCGGTAGTGGTATTTTTCCAGATCTAGAACCATATTACAGAATTTGCCGTCCGTTAACTGATTGATAATTAGAGCATTGCCATCCCAAGGAAAACTTCTTTATATCATCTTCATTTATTACTGCTTCTCCAGATTTCTTTACAAAATCCATTAATTGGAAATTTCAACTTTAGTTTGCGATATTCGAGAACCTTCAAATTTGCGGCTATCATCTTCATCATCCTCACCATGAAATATGGTAGCTGGCCATAAATTATGCCAAGCATTTTTGAAAGTATTTGAAGACACATCCTCCCATGATCCTGCGATCCTCCACTCAGAAAATTTGATGCTAATATATTTAAAAAATTCTTGAATAGTATTTCTATTATTCATGAAATTTAACATGGATTTTAAAAATGCTACTTTATATTTGCATTTTAGTGCATGTACTATTCTGATATCCATAGGCTGAATGATGTATGTACAGTTTGGAGGAAAGAATAATAAGGATACATTATCTTTCACTAAAACTTTTGTTGAAGGTATTCGTGGTTCATTTCTGTTTACTGTTACAACTTCGCTAAATCGAGACGAGCAGATGAATAAAACAGAATTAAAGATCTTACCTTAATAAAGTGTAATCCAAGCTGCGGAGGTAAGGAACACGATCATTATATTAGCAAACACAACGTAACATATTTATTAGGTATATGAAGAAAAAAATATCTAGAGATGATTACAAGCGTTGTTTACTGTCCATTGCATAACGCGAGAAGTGAGTCATACAAGGAGAGAATGTTTCTCCTTGTTTTTTTTTGGATCAAGTCCAATCACAGTTAGCGGGTGTGAGGGGGGTTGTACAGCCTCATCGCCTCCGTTATTAATTGCTCCACAATCTCCCACTCGATGAGCTGTTCTGTCCAAAGTAAGCCCGATTCCTTTCAATAAAAATTCCAGCTGTTGTCTGGGCAAAGGTTTCGTGAACATGTCTGCATACATATTTTACTGTTGCAGTGTATTAATTTAACAATCCCTTGATTTTGTAGATCACATACGTAATGATATTTCACATCGGTGTGTTTGGTGTAACTGCTTTCTTTCTCTTTTCGGGAAAGATTTATGCATGATATATTGTCCTCGAATACGTTGTTCGCTTCCTGTTGAGCGAAACCTAAATCTCCCATCAGTTGTCTAGAGCGATGTATTCGGCTTCTGTCGAAGATAGGGCGACACAGTTTTGTTTCTTGCTTCCCCATGATACCGTACTGTTTCCGATTTGAAATATATATCCAGATGTGGATTTTCTGTCAGAGGTATCTCCTGCCCAATCAGCGTCACTGTAAGCTCTGATGACTGGTGCACCATTGGATTTTAGATGTAATTTGTAATTAATTGTAGCTCTCAAATATCGTATGATTTTAATGATACCGTTCCAGTCCGATGTTGATGGATTTTCTACTTTTCTGCTAAGTATTCCAACAGAATTTGCTATGTCAGGGGCTTGATACTGTTGCTAAATATAAAAGTGCTCCCACTGCTTCCCTATACTTCCGTTATCGGGAAAAATGTCATCCTGGTTGTTTTTGTTCTTCGTAAATTCGTAGTCATGGGTGTATAACTTAGTTTCTTTGGTGACTCTCCGTCGAATTTTTCGATCATACTCTTAATCTTGTTAGCTTGATGAAGTTTAAAGCTTCCGTCTTTTTCTCTTTTGATTTCAGTTCCTAGATATGTAGACACTTCTCCAAGATTTCGAATGTCGAAATATTCTTTGAGAATTCGTTCAACTTCTTGAATTGATTCACACTTGTCGCTCGCGACTAATATGTCATCAACGTAAACGATTATGTAAGTTCTTGCGTTTTTCTCGATTAGTGTGAAGGAACATGGATCAGCCTTTCCTTGAACGTATCCTTGTTTGCGCAGGATTTCAGCTATCTTGTGATTCCAGTTTCTGGCTGCTTGTTTTAGTCCGTAGATACTTTTATTCAGTTTACAGACTTTATTTGCTTCTGAAGCAGAGATGTAGCCTTCCGGTTGCTTCATATATATATATCTTCTTTCAGATCTCCATATAGAAACGCTGTTTTTACATCGAAGTGATTTACGTGCATTTTCCTTTGAGCTGCTATTGCCAAAATAGTCCTTATTGTTGTATATTTTACGACTGGTGCGAATGTTTCGTCGTAGTCGTGCCCAAATTTTTGGCAATATCCTTTAGCTACTAAACGAGCTTATATCTGATAAATTTTCCTGAAGCGTCGGATTTTGTTTTAAAGGTCCATTGTTTCCAATTGCTTTCTTCCTTTTGGAAGATCGACTAGTTCCCATGTTTTTTTTCCTCTTCAGTGATTCCATTTCTTTCGTAGCTTTTAACCACAGTTCCTTTCTTTGGTAGGAAAAGTTTGAAGTTCTTCCCAGTCTTTAGGAACTTTGATTTCTTCGTTCTTAGCCATGTATGAGAATCTGTTTGGTGGGATTCCTTTAGTCGTTCTGTGGGATCTCTCGGTAATGGGGGAATTTCTTCTGTTTCAATTACTTCCTCTGTAATATCATTTGGACGTGGTTCTGTCAATTTATTTTCTTTAAATGGCCATTCTATTTCCTCATGCTGATCATTTAATTGACAAGGCATTTCTTTCTTTTTGTTTTCATCGAATATTACGCTTCTTTCTGCACGACGTTGTTTGCAGGTGGCATGTAAATTCTATATCCTTTAGTACGGTCGCTATATCCAACAAAAACTCCTTTTTCTGCTCTTTCGTCTAGTTTGCTTCTTTTCTGCTTTGGAACTCGACAATAAGCTGTGCTGCCGAAAACTCTGATATGGCTTAGGTTTGGCTTCTTATTATTCCATAGTTCATACGGTATTTTTTTCAACTGATCTTGATGGTAGCCTGTTCTGTAGATAGGTGGCTGTCATTACGGCTTCACCCCAAAATTCTCTTTTGAGTCCTGAATCGAGTAGCAGCATCTTGTCATTTCCATTAGCTATCGATTTTTCTTTCTGCTCTACCGTTCTGTTGCGGTGAATATGCTACGGAGGTTTGATGTTCGATTCCCTCTTCCTTTAGATAGTCTTCAATCTCTTTGCTTGTATATTCTCCTCCATTGTCTGTTCTAAGACTTTTGGCTTCTTTCCGAATTTGTTCTTCGTCATGGTTACAAATTGTTTAACTTGGAGATAGCTTTCATTCTTTTGTAGCTAGCAGATAGATCGTTGTGTATCTCGAATGATCGTCGAGGAATGTTAAAGTATTTCTTTCCTCCTAGTGATGTAACCGATTGGTCCACATATATCGGAATGTATTAAGTCTAGAACTGATTTTGCTCTATAGTTGTTAGCTTGGGATACGGCAATTCAGTCATTTTTCCTCTGATACAGCATTCGCATTCTTTTCCTTTTTGGCTTCTCCGCAATTCTTATTCCGGTTGCCAGGTCATCATTCTTTAGCCTCTTGATTGCTTCATAATTTCTCCTAGTCTTCTATGCCAAAGATCTATACTATTTTCTCTTCTTTCTGCGGTTGCAATTTGGCTTTTTTCTTTGCGATTCAACTATGGTGTATAAATTTTCCTTCTGCTTTAGCAATTCCTATGGTTTTATTTTTCTTCTTCTTTATTCTGCAAATATCTTCTTCAAATTCAACTGTGAATCCTTTCTTTGTAATTTTTCGTACGGATATCAATCCTCCTTCTAGGTCAGGAACGTACAGAACATCTATGAGTCTCACTTCTATTTCGTTATCTTCGTCGTCTGTACAGTATAAGTTCCTTCTCCTATACCTTCGGACTTCATCTGCGTGCCGTTAGCAATTGTTATCTGCTCAGTTTTGCTTCTATCCAATTTGGTGAAAAAGTTTATGTTATCGGTCATATGACAAGTAGCACCTGAGTCAACTGACCAGTTTTGAGTTGGTTGAGATTTCTTTCTCTGGTGACTTCGAACGTGTAATCTCAGTCTTCTCATGATTCTATTTTGTTTTCATCTTCATGTGTATCCTCGTTTACAGCAACTTTCGTTTTCTGTTTATTTCCATAATTTCCTTTATTCGTTTGCTTTTCATTCTTTGAAAAATGAGTTACTTTCGTTTTTATCTTTTTCTTTGTGGTTATTTAAGAATCTGCACTCTTTTCTAAGTGTCCTATTTTTTTTGCAATAATTGCATCGTTGATTTAAAGCTTGAATTTTGTGTTAAAATTCGTTTTGAAAGCAGTCATTTCTTCTGCTCGCGTTACTTCTTTTCTTCTCAGGCATTCGTCGATGAGTTTCGTTTTTACGTATTCCAGCGTTAGTTCTTCTTCTGGGGCGTGCTTCTAAAGCTGTAATGAGATTTTCGTAGCTCTTTGGTAAGCCGCTTAGTAAGAGCGCTGCAATGTGACTGTCCTTTATTTCTTCACCGATTCCTCGCAGTTCGTCTACGATTTCGAGCATTTTGTTGACGTGTTTCTTCGAGTTGTATTGTTTTCTGTTTTAACGTATACAGCTTCTCAGAAGGTAAAGTTTACTGGAAAGATTCTTT